GCCATAATTGTCTTTACCATGGTGAATTGGTAGGTTAATTTTTCTTCTCTGAAAAGTGTGCAGCTTTCCATGAAGAACATGTTAAGGAGCAACTACTGTTTATAAATTCCTTCTAGAAGAAGTGAAATAATTAAGTAACTTCGAGTATATAAGGGTAAATGCCTTTTCTAATATAACTCTGTTTTATTTCTTCCTCCGTATTAAGTAGCAAATTTTAAATCACCATATTAAGTTAATTTTTTAACCTGATTTAATATAGTGAAAGCGCAGGATATATATATATATATCCCAGGTCCAGGATACGATTGATTAATTTCTTTCTCGGCAAAATAAGTTCAATCATTTTCTTTAAAAAGCGTTCACAAAAGAAAGATCTCTTTCTGCTCATTAAATGCTTTTTTATTCATAAAAAATTATTCTTCTGCTCAACAAAAAAGCAAAAATCGGAATAAAACAAATACTATTTAATAGATTTCAGTGAAATTGATTAAAAAGGTTAGTGTAGCATTACTAGACTCCCATAACAAACATTAAAGGAAAGATGTACAAGCACATGTATTAGACCAAATGGATTGGAAGAGTGTGCAATGAAAACATCACTCTAATAACGGGTGTGATACCCTCTAGTAGAAGTGCATGCTTGACAATGACGAGGCAAGCTGGCAATGGTGTGATTGATGGCTTGTTGTGAGAATAGTGCTTATTCTTGTAGAAATGCAGGTAAGAGCTCATGGAAGGAGTTTAGTGACAAATTGCGATCTGCTATCCGTCGTTCCAACATGTCCCACACATGCTCTGTGAGATTGAGTTCCGGTAATCCAGCAAGCCAAGACAGATGTTGAATAGTTTCAGTGCCCAGATAATTCCGAAATATTCGAGCTCTATGCGAGCAGGCGTTATCATCCATAAATATCGCGTCGATACAAATTTTCAGCAATAAAAGAGCTCACAAGAAAGTGTAGAATTTCGTCGCGATATCTAACGGTTGTGATGGAACCACCAGGAATTACTTAAGGTATCTATCTGCCTACGTTAAAAAAACGATTTCGGCGAAAAAATTCGATTTTTTTTATTGCCCAATTTAAAAGGTCAATTTTGTAGGATTCCAAAAATGGTTCATTTTTACGTTTGTGATAATTAGAAGAGAAGGTATAGCCAATTAACGGCACTGGAAGTGAAAGCAGAAAGACCGGAAGTGCCATTTAAAAAGCTCAACTTAAAGGTAAACAATGTTGTTATCCGTGTTTTTTTTTAACTGTTTGTGTGTAAAATTGGGCTAAAACATTTCATTTTAATTCTGGGTACATTTTTTGTTTCTGGCAATAATTATTTGCCTTAATTCTTTGAACTGGGACTGGCTGGCAACATTGCGGTTTTTTTTTAACTGGGTTTGGCAACTTTGCGATTAGGTATAAAGACTATGTTGCTGGGTGCATATATAGCCGTTTTAATTTTAATTCAGGGTATCTTGGATTACTTCCTGTGTTTGAACATTTAGGCATATCAATTGAACAAGAAATGATTAAAAATTACTTTGGAATTGATAACGAAAGAATAAAGAACTAGAAAATTCATTCGTCGCTCATTTCGAAAACAGCCAGAAAAAAATTAAAATCAAATAGGAAATCAAAATTACTTAAGTATAAAGATATGGAGGGTGTGATGTACAAATGTGGAGAATTTTAAGTGTGTAAATACAACAGAACAGTTTTTCTGTTAATGTGAAATCTTTAAATGCGTTTTCTGAAAAACTAATTTTTCTAGTGTTTTACATACAAGAAATGTAATTACTCAAAATGTTCTAAAGATATCTCTATTAAATTTCACTAAAATGTTTTCTATATTTTATTAGGTTTTAAGCTACAATCTAAGTAATATTTATTAATTTGATTGTTTTATAAGTATTTCTATATAAAAACGATAAGAAATATTTTACAAAAAACTGTGTTTTTTTCATGTAATTACACATATTTTAGTAAATTTTAGAAATATCATATACATTTTAGTTCATAACACAGATACGTGTTGTAGTAGTATACAGTATAAAAAAAATTGAAATATATGCTGTGAGAAAAAATATACGGCATTTAACGTAAGTATTAAATTCTCCTAAAAATTTGCATAAAATTGCATATATTTCAAAAATTTATAAAAATATTCCTAAAAATTTACCTATTTTCATGATTTGATATCATATTTTGACTAAATAAATATATATTTCATCAAAATTCTATGTTTTTAAAAAAAAGTGCTCCGAACGTAGGCAGATACCTTAAAGGTAAAAGTGGCCATTCTTTGCTATCCCAGCTGATAGAAGTAAGCCTCCTTGTCTGTAAATGCCTCTTTCAACTATGTTTTGGTGCGGAAAACAGGTCCCTGGCTCTCGCTATATAATTTCCTTCGGGAATTGTTCTGGATGTTAAATCGAGACTTATCCGTAAACAGCACGGGGCTCCATTGTTCTAGTATTCAACTGCGGTATTCACGGGCTCAGTTCAACTCCGCTCTGACGTGCCATGAGGACAAAGGAGCACAGCCTACACAATGACACGTTGGTCATTCGGCGTATGCAGTCGTTGGGCACAATGGTCGTTGGGCGTATGCAGTCGATACGACAAAGTTTGGCAGGATACGGGCCGTCCTGCAGCAGCAGAGTGATGGGATATCAGCTGTCTTGCTATTAATGACCTATGGCGTCTTGCACGTAGTGACAGGAAGCGATCGTCTGCCGTTGTGGTAATCCTCCGGTGTCCATACCCATGTCTTCTACAAGGATTTTTGTCTCTTTGGTAACGACTGCACAGCCTGTTGATGATACTACGATGCACACTGTAACAGCTGATTGCCTTGCACTATCTTTCAACACCCGACAACCCTCCAACGCATTTCATCGTGCAAATGATGTCTTCGGCTCATGCTTTCCGCTTTGGTTATCTCGGATTACTCGGAACTATCGCTCCTTGCCAACTCATATATGCTTCTTTTTAAGCCGTTCTGGTGTGACTGCGGGATTGCGTTTTATGCTAATTTTTGTTGACGATTTGCATTCGGCGATGCAAACTCATATGCAAATTGTATGTTTTTGTTTCCCTTTTTATCTTTTCCTTTAGAACCATATGTGTTCGGAAATTTGCACTCTACTTTGCGTCTGCGCAGTGTTGAAACAGAAAGAAGAGCAACTGTATTTGATCCCCAGTAGAAGTCCAGACTAGGTATCACTGTGGTTGTGCTTGTATTTTTTTTTTCTCACTGTCGTGGTACAGTGTTTTGAGACATGAAATGTTGACATGGATATACTCTCGAAGACGTGAACGGCAGTAGAAATCTGTAGATATTTTCAGTCCGAGTTAATTTAGAAGCGTTTTCATTCAGGGTCACTATAATGGTGCTTTACCAAAGTCGAGAAATAGTAGGGTCATCATTTCGTAGAAATGTCAGTTAGTGCAAGGATAAAGATGACATACATGGTTTTACATCCATTACTTCAATTAGATTAGAAAATATATTACTTAGCAAAATATATTACTTTACATATAAATAATAAAAAAATGTGATATATGAGACGCGCGATATAATCAAGGAGCAATCATAGGCTGATACCGATATCAGTAAAACCCATGCTAATTCACAGGAAAATGAGCCGGTACTGCGCAGCCGGGGCGAGGTGAGTTCGATACTCCACCTGAATTGTAGGGAGTCAGTCTCCAATTACCCCTCCCCTAAATTACCCCTCTTCTAAATTCCCCTTCCCTAAAGAGAGAAAGTTGGAAGTTGACAACTCTTCAACTAACTGCTACTTAAGAGTTCTCCACTAGTCCATCACAAATGTGAGATTCCGTTGCTGACTGTTATCCACTAGCGCACTGAAACACAGTCAAGTTTCTGCCGACGGATATAATATGCCAAGACGGCATGATGCAGTAGAGTTATACTAGCCAAGTTGCATCTGCCCATCTCGTCTTGTTTTTGCGTTGTCGTATATATATGTTTAAATATTTTGTTAAGCTTCACGTGAAGACTGATTAAAATTTCATGTTATTCACTTAGCATTCTCTCAATTATTTATAGTATACTGCAATGGTAATTTTCAACACTAACAGTATGAATACACAGAGTAAATTTCATACAGCCTTACAGATTCCTGTAGAAACTAAGATATTATGCGTGTATAAACAATTAATTGTTTATTTAAAACGCATCGGAAAATGAATACTGGATACATGAGATTCATTGTATTAGTAGATTAAATAATACCGTAATAAGGAACGCAATATTAAAGCCTCATAATTTTCAAAGTATTATGCAAGCATTTAGATTTTTGCACTGCATGCTATATTTACTACTCCTAATATTTTTTTTTACACTACATAATCTCAAGGCAGCATTCAATGCTTGAAATTAAAATTCTTAATTAAACAATAGATTTTTCATTTGTATATATTTTTTATTTGGACTCATCTAAGAACATTTAAATAAGCAACGCTATTTTTAATATTGAACAGAGAAAAATAATTATATTTTTTTTTTCTAATTTCTAGATTCGAACACTGGATAATCGCGAATTACTAAAATTAATTTTTAACAGTCATTAATGTTTTGTAAAAGTCGTCTGCAATCAAAAAATGAAACGGTTAATAAATATAAATTCGTGTAGAACATTCGTCAGAAACCTGAATTCGTATCTAATATTAGTAGAGCATCCCGAATTTCTGTGAGGCCTCAAATCATTACTATAATGAGATTCAGCTGAAAATTTTATCTCAGTAATAACTTTTAGTAAATATCATTTCAGTCTTATGGAAGAATTACTCGTACGAAGGAATTTTTCTAGTACCAATTGGAAGGGTTTTGGGACCATATTACAAAAAGTATATTAACTAGTAACGTTTCTCACTAATATTTCATTTTAGGACGAAGTAAAACAAATTCCTATAATAATATTATAACATATGTTTCAAAGAATGCTACTGTTTCAAGAATAATTACAAAGTAGTACATACTTCGAGCTCATTGATTGCGACCCATGAATTTGCTGGGAATCCCTGCAGCATGGGCACGAGGAACTGCAAGCAACCGCTCCAGTGTCCTATCAGAAGCATCATGCATATCAAGTTGAAGATTTTCATAAATACGCTAGCCATGTTGAAGAACTGAAAAAAAAAATAAGTCTTTATTCAGAACAACGCAGTATAAAAATGGACAATGTATGCAATATAGAGTAAAAATGAACAATACGCTGAAATCTTCTCACTAAAATCTTCGTCATTCTCACTGAAATAAGCTTCCTTGTTGAAATCTTCCTTCGTACAAACCTTTAGAGCTAAACTTTACTATGGCACTTGTTTTCGGACTATTGTGAGCAGGGCCAGAAATTTGATGACCTAAATTTCACTGAAAACGATTTTACAAATAGCCGGCAAATATTTTTAAAAGGCAAAAAAAAAAAAAAAGGCCCTTAAAAATAATAACAAAAAAACCGCCATAATAAAAAAAAAGTAATAATATAAAAATGATATAACTGACAAAGATTAACTAATTACAATTGAATTTTAGTTTTTTCTTCGGAAAAGCACTGTCGCCAAAAACGTCTTCCACATTCCTAGAGACTCCTACAAGACAGTTCATTTTAAACATTGCAAAATACAAGGTCATTCGCCAGTCTACCGCCGACGGACTATATTCCAGTCGAGCGAAAAAGAGAATGGAAAAGATTTTATCGAGGTAGAAAAAGGTGTTGCAACAGCTGTGAGTATGTGCTACCAAAAATGTATCTGTGAAATAGCCTTTTTCCTCTCTGGATGTAATACTGTGGAACTGAAGGGGTACAAAACGTCTTAAAGGTCTAAGAAATGCTAGTGTAGAAAATTATTAGAAGGGACACACATACTTGTGGAAAAGCCTGTCATGATAGATAGTACTGACAGATCACATAATCAGTTTTCAATGGACGGGACATGCCTGACTAGTAAAAATGAGTTCATGGGAGCTGAGATAGGGTTATGCCTCAAAATGCTCTAAAATGCCCGAAAAATCCATTGAAAAACCTGAGATATGCTCTAAATATTCAAAAATGCTTTAAAAGAGGAATGGCAAAAATTGCCCCCTTCCCAAAAAATGAAATGTCAACAAACTCCAGAACCTTGATCGTTAGACATGTATTATGGACTTTTCCAATTACAGTAGTGGATGTCTATGCCAGTTGTGGACTATTACTGGCTGTACATTGTGTATACATGGATTATTCTGATTACGAACTATTGCTGACCATAATTCACTATTATTGGCCTGTTATTTACTATGGGCTATTAACTATTATTTTTATGGACTATTACTGAACTATTGACTGTGAACTGTTACTGATGCAATTTCTGTCAATGTATAAATAAAAGTGACATCTGTAAATATATAAACAAAACTATTCTACTATTAAATAGCAATATAAAAATTACATTGTACGATTGCACTAAAGATGCAGCATATCATCCGATTAAATAATTTTTTGTATGTAAACTTCCATGTAACGTTTCTAAGACTCAATAAATACCGTCGGGATGGCGTAATCCGTTTGATCTATATACAGATCTTAGACTGGATGTCATCACGATGGAGTATAGACTAGAGCACTTGCTTTAACAATAGAGCAAATAAATGGAATAAACTTTTTTCAGTGAGACTGAAACCTTTGTCTAACAATTCAATGCACAGAAATCGGGCTCTAAAAAAATTCTTTATTTGGCAAATAATCTAAAATTCTATCCATTATGACTATTAATTCGAATAAAAATCCTTATTTCTTCGAAACACCTTAATTCGTGATTTGTTTCTACTTTACTTTCTGCTCGATAGATGGCGATAGTGTTTCTCTTACTATCGTTATAGAATAGCTCTCGAGCTTTCGCAATTCCTAAATTTCCGTTCACAAGCAACTGTTGATCATCCATTTGTTAAATTCACCATTAATGCTGTGTTCTGTGACTCATTAAGAAAATTGCTGAAATTTTGAAAACACATTCATATCAAATTTGAATTGATTATGTAATTTTTGCTGACTATTTTAAATAGTCAGCAAAAATTACATAATCAAGGTACCTAATTCTTTCAACAAATGTTTGTAAAAGCTATGTATATGTGGATTTTCTTTATTTCATGCGGCAGTTATATTCAATTCGTTAACATGGAATTAAATAATGAATCACATTATATCTAAACGATATACTTTTGATTGTAATAAAGATGAAATATATTAGAGATTATTACTCAACTGAAATTCCGGAAACGAATTTATATATTTCAAATTTTTAAACAGAAATTAAATAACACAGAAATTTCTTGTTATTTAATTTACCGAATACATATTCAGTGCAAATGGAAATCATATTATTTGTTCGGAATGACAGAAAATTATTGAATAAAAAACATGGTAAATGCAATATTATAATAAAAATATCAGCTGATTTAGAATCCTTTTCACTTTCTAAATATCAAGTACACTATATTTAAATTTTGAATTTCTTCAAGCATAAACAAACAAGGACCAGAGCCTAATTCATGTGCTTCGTACCTTGAGCTTTAATCAAGATACATGCTGTAGTATTAAATTTAAGTATTTACACTGTTGAACGTAACTGTATGTACGTGTATATAAATTTGAGTACAATGTTGTAATTATCTGATGTTTATTTTTTTCTCAAGGCATGTGAGCATTTTAAAGAGTGAGTACTCTCAGAGTACATTTTTAAAAAGAATGTGAATAATTTTTTGTTATTTCCCAGATGCGATCTTTGAAATAATTACGACTAATTATGTTTTCTCAAAGTATGTGAGCAATTTAAAGAGTGAGTACGCTCAGAGTACCTTTTTAAAAACAGTGTGAATAAGTTTTTGGTATTTCCATGATGCCATCTTTGAAATAATTAGGACTAATTACGTTTATGCATCAGAAGCGCTGCTTAATGGGAGTGCCTTTCACCCAGAGAGGCGGTAAAACCCGCCGTTCGACCATAGTTCAAATCCTGACGAACGAGCTGGTTGAATGGCAATTTCCGCGGATTTCCCGATGTCAGATATAAATATGAGTCTACTTTTCCAGAAAAGTACATCATTCGGCATGTTTTTCTTAGGTAAACAGCTTTGGAGTGCTTTGTTTTGATCCAAATATCCTTTTTCCTTTGACCTTGAATGATGCATGTCTGACACAGATAAAAATTTTTAAAACGTATTAAAGAATTCCTTCGAAATTTTGAAACTTTTAAGCAAAACTGTTTTAATTATGAAAAATTAGCTAAAATTGATCACGTTGAATAAGTTCAAATCGCACTATGTTTCATTTCTTTTGAAATTTAAATAATACTGCTTTTTGTGATTAAGTCTTAATCGATATTTATAGTCACAGATTATTTATTGCAATTGAAATTGATCTTCCCGTCAGAAGTCGTCAGTTTCCGAACAGAAATTTTTCTTTTTTTCATTACAAATTAAAGCTTTCCATTTTTCTGCGTTTTAAGGATCAAGAATATTCAATTAAATGCAAATGTTGCAGATTTCTTTAAATATTTACTGGTTGTCGAGAGAGACCAGTTTATTACAACTCTAAACCTCTTCATAGAATCACATAACCGAATTATGGATTCATACCATAAATGTTGTTTCAGAACATCAATACAACTCATTAGTAAGCTGGCGATAGAAACACCAAATGGCTTTTAGTTAATATACAGTGCGCTTTTCCTTTCGAATATTGAGTACTGTAATAGAGCAATTGATTACGGATAGCTATGCATTAAAAGCTTTTATACCTTAAGTATCCCATTTTTATAATGTTTTAAAGTATTCTAAGTTTCTTATGTTTTCATCTCACTTCCTAGGGGATATTGTTAGCTTTAACAGTGGATTACCAACAGTATATTAATTTAAATACAAACTCTGTAACTCTGCACTGGTTAACCACGAAATTCATTAAACAGGCAGGCTTTTTAGAAGTATGAAGAACTAACCTTAATAATTTTGTTTAATGTCCGTGAAGACTTTGGTCGTCTCGTAATTTCATACTTCGACAGTTTTTTTCATATTTGTAATATTGTAATAATAATTTTATATTTGTTATATTGTGTATGCCACTGTACCCCAATATACTGTATTTCTTTTAGTTATACAGTTTGGCAGCTTGAACAGTTTGGCATTTAAGCTTTTGTTATAATTACACGCATACACATGTGCTATACATTATTGATGCAGTTACTTTGTTTTTGTGCCATTTGTATCGATTGAGCTGCAGAAGTCCCTAATAACTGGGCCCACCAGCGGCGGAGCGGTGAAGTTTCTGAACACTAGTAGTTCCATCCAAAGCTCGATTTCCGCGAAGGGGTCGGCTACATGGCCCCCTTCGTGACCTTCCCCATGTGTAATATGCACACGAGCCAATTTCCCTTAGAAAGTCATCCACGAAGGCATCCCTCCCTTTCGACTGTCGAGGACTTTGTCATAACCAAATAGACCTAACCAAATCCTAATACACGTATTTTTGATATTTTATGGAATGCTAGACGCTTTCAGAGGAAGTATAAAATATTAAAATTATGAGATATTTTCTCTAAACATTTTTTATATAGACATTCTACTGAATAACAAATCCTTTATTTCGGTAAAGTATGAAGTAGGGTAATGATAAGTCTATTATTTAAAAGACGTGCTTTCCTCAAAATTACTCATGCCATTTTGAAAAAATAATGAAAGAATGCCATTAAAAGCCTTTTATTAAAAAATGCGCTAAAAAATTGAAAGTTGTATAAAACAAAATTTATGCCTTTCTTATTAAAGAAACCTAGGTATGAAAATATATGAAATGTGTGGAATTATAGAATGAATATATTAATTATATGGATTATATATAAATGCATTAAATGAATGGATAATCAAAATGAATCGAAGATGTGTTTTATAGTCTGCCGGTTTGTCATTTCGCATTCTATAGAATGCCTGGGAAAATGTATGAAATGTTAATTGTTTCACACAGTGTCAAACAGTTTTTGGCATTTGATAAAATACGTAGCTATTCTATAAAATGCCGGGTTTCATACATTGTCGGTAAAACGATAACACAGTATCTATGTAAAGTTGAATTTTCGACCGAATGAAGTAATTTAAAAACATTTCCCTGTTTTTATGCAAACGAGCTTGAAATATCAGTGTGCTTACTTTGATTTGAAAAGTTAGTATTCGAATTTGATAGTTTATTAAGTTACAAAATATTGCTCCTCGCACATCATTATGATCACAGTCAGCACATGGCTGCCTATGAATGATTAATTTCTTGTCTCTATCCAGCGAACATACAGATAAACAGGACGATATGCCATTGAAAAACAAGCTGTATTTATGCATTGTTACTCTTAATAAAAAAAACTAATTAGTTATTTTCCAAACTGTGGTGAAAGAAACTTGTATACTTTCATTTCGACTTTAAAACATTTCATTCGATTTTAAAACAGTCACGATTAAAATTATCAGTTCGAAAATTCATTTTGCATATAATTGAGAGCATGGTATTTTTTGTTTTTACAAAGATTGGAGAAAAACATTGCTAACGTTTATTTGTAACCATGACATAAATTGGGTTTTGGAAAAACAGCGTAAAAATAATAATCGGAATCTCCACTAACCAGTGATGTAAAAACAGGAACAAAAGTTCAAGTCTGAATTATTGGCGAACTAAATTGTTTTTAAAAGCCTCTTTCGAAGCTTTTGCAGGGATTATAGCATAATAAAATGTTCAAAAAGGTTCTTTTCTTATTTTTTTTATAAAAATTGTGTAATTAACTTTCTGATACATAGTTAATAAAGATGCTTCTTTGGAAATATAAGATTCAATTTTTGATACTTTATGGAACAAAAATTAAACTAAAACTGTAAAAAAAATTTTTACAGTTGTTACAAATAGTGTTTTGTAACAAAGCCTTGAAAATGAATAAAGCTTGACATGAGGCAAAGCATAAACAAGAGGCAGAAGTTATAGAAAATACCGATAAATGCTAATGGTTATTCTTATGAATTTGACGACTCGACAGACATACGTGACGTAGACCCAGAGGGA